AGAGCTCAACTACAGATTGCAGGTGGTTTTGTTTTTGGTTCCTGGGGTTTAAGGATATCTGTCAAATTACTAGCAGACCAATAAGCTAACCAGAATTCAGTAGCCAAATACAGCAAAAACAACATAATACATAAAATTAGTTGAGAACAAAACCTGGGAATGAGAAAATTATGATTTCCAAAGTTTCAACATCTCATTTTTAACAAGTTACAAAGCAGGAAAGGAAACAATAGAGTATGGCCCTACAGAAAAATAAATAACAGAAATTGTCCTTAAGGAAGCCCAAAATTTGGACTTACTAAATAAACATTTTAAATCAACTATTTAAGCTAAAGGAAATGATGGACAAAAAAATTAAAGAAAATCAGAAAAGCAGTTTTAAAACGAATGAGAATATCAATAAAGAGTTAGAGATTATAAAAAGAAACTAACGGAAATTCTAAACAGAATTCTTAAAGATAAGAAAACCAAAATAAAAAATTTCTTAGAGGGGTTCAATATCAGATTTGATCAGGCAGAAGAAAAAATCAGCAAATCTGTGGGTAGACTACCGGTTGAAATTACCCAGTCTGAGGAGTAGAAAGAAAAAAAGACTGAATATAAATGGACAGAGCCTAAAGACCTATGGATACCATCAAGTAAGTCAATATATAAATAATGAGAATACCGAAAAGGAAGGAGAAAGAGGAGGCAGAAATAATACTGGAAGGAATATGGTCAAAAAAATTTTTAATATGAAAAAAGACATGAATTTACAAATCTAAGAACTTAATGAACTGAAAAAGGGGTAAACTCAAGAGATCCACACTGTAACAAATTATAATCAAACTGTTGAAAGGAAAAGGTAGAGAAAGAAATCTTGAAAGCAGCAAAGTAGAAGGTATTCATTATATATGAAGGATCCATAGGAGATTAAAAGCTGATTTCTCAGCCAAAACCATGGATCCAGAGACAATGGGATAACATATTTAAAGCGTTGACAGAGGGGAAAAAAGAAGGCCAACCAATTCTATCTCCAGCAAAACTGTCCTTTAAAAATGAGGGAGAAATTAAGACTTCCAAGGTAAACAAAGGTGAGAGAGTTTCTCACAACTAGATTTGCCCTACAAGAAATAAAAGAGGGAACACTTCTTAATTTCTTCTATTGCAGACCAATAACTCTTATGAATGAACATGATACAAAAGTCCTAAACTATCTAAGATACTAGCCAAATGAATATACAGCATATTAAAATTATACATAAATAAAGTTATTCCAAGAATCCAAGGGTGGTTAGTTGAATATATGAAAATCTATCAATGTAACAGCCTACATTAATAGTAAGAATGCAAAAAAGAAAACTTACATTATCATCATGTATGCAGAATAGACATTTGAGAAAATCCAGAACTGTTTCAGAACAACGCTCACCATAATAAAGGGAAATGAATTTCCTCAACCTGATAAGGATCAGTTATGAAAAATCCACAGCTAATATCATAGTCAATGATGAAAGAATAAAAGCTTTACCCCTAAGATATTAAATAAGACATGGCTGCCTCTTTCACCACTGATATCCAACATTGTACTGGAAGTGCTACCCAGAACAATTCGGCAAGAAAAGAAAAAAAAAAAAGCATACAATTAGAAAAGAAAAAGGAAATTTATCTCTACATGCAGATAACATAATCCTATATGTAGAACATTTTAAAAAACACAAAGACAAAAATCTACTAGTGTTAAAAATGTCAGTAAAGTTGCACAACACATGAGAATTAGTTGTGTTTCTTTACACCAATAATGAACAGTCTGAAAGAACATTTAAAAAATAATTCCATTTATAATAACATCCCCAAAATAAAATACCTAGGAATAAATTGAACCAAGAAGGTAAATGTTTTCATGTAAACTGAAAACTATACAATAGTGCTGATAGAAATGAAAGAAGACCTAAATGAAAGATATTCCATATTTATGAATTAGAAGATTTCATATACTTAAGATGGCAATATTCACCAAAATGGTCTACAGATTCTATGTAAACACTATCAAAATTCCAAGACCCTTTTCTGGAACGGCAAAGGGCCCTGAATAGTCAAGACAATATTGAAAAAGATATGAAATATACAGAATAGAGAAATCCAAAGGGACGGAACAAAGACTGGCAGTTTCCACGGACTGGAGACAGAGGAAAATGTGGAGAAACTGCTTAAGTGGTGATGGATGCTAATGTGGAGTGATGAAAATGTGGAACTAAATAAAGGTGGTAGTTGCACGACTGGTAAATGCCATAATGCCACTGAGTGGTTCACTTTCAAATGGTTCATTTTATGTTATGTAAATTCCACCTCAGTAAAATGTTTTTTTTAAAATAACTAACAATCTAAGTGATTTCACAATATTTTTTTAAATAGATATTTATAAATTATGATATGTTAAAATTTTGAAGCTAAATCTCTTTATACTATTTAAAAATAGTGTCTCCTTTGCTGGCCTCTAATTATCAGAAATTCTATCATTGAAACATTTAACACAATCCTTCACATGAAACAGACATATCTAGTTCTCTTCCAACAACTACTGAATCAAAAGCACAGGAGTAAAACCAGGAAATCAGAAATTTTAAAGTTTTGCTACAAGGTTTTGTGCTTATTCAACTTCTAGAACATCCACTAACCTAGTATGAATTGGAAAGATTATCTGAAGAAACGGGAAGTTTAAAATCCAGACACTGCATCATAAAGCTTTTCATTTCTGAATCAACATTGCTTTACTCTTAGTTCCCAAGAGACTCACAAGAGAAAATGCAAAGATACACAAAGGCAGATTCCAATTTCTAGAAGAAAACTATCCTCACCCATGGAGAGCAGGTTCCTATAGTTCTCTGACATCACGTCCCTGTACAAGGCCCTCTGAGCACAGTCTAGGAATTCCCACTCTTCCAGAGAGAATTCTATGGCCACATCCCTGAATGTCAACAGTCCCTGAAAAGAAAACACATTTCACCAAGAAGCCATCAGGAGAGTATGTATCCTCACACAAACAGAGAGGAGGAGGAAGGTGTTAAGGGTCAATTATCTAGAAATGAATGTTCTGATAGAGCCACAATAGTTAATTTTGAGCAAGTCCTATATCCTCAATTTTGCTTAATTATACTTTTCCAACAGACAGTATGAAATTACTAAATTACTGATGATTTTACAATTTTGTTCAAGTCAAAAGAAACATACAACTGAAAAATTCAACTAAGGGTCTCTGTACATAAATTCTAGATTTTATACATCAAATGATAGCTAATGTCTAAATGAATTACAACATAAGTAGCATCTCCAGGGAAGACAAAATCCACAGTAGCTTTAAAGAAAGGTGAGAATTGAAAAAATGGCATAATTACAGTAAAACCGGGAAGTTTGGGATACTTCACATATGGTAAGCTTTACTCTAAATGTTTTCTAAGTATGAACTTACATAATGACAGCATAAGAGAAAGGTTTGTTCTCACCTTACCAAGGACCCCACTCTTAAGAGTCACAGAGACTCTAAGAAATTCGCCTTAGGTCAAATAGTTAATAAATGACAGAACCAGCACTTGAACCAGGTGGTTCGCTTTAGAATGGAACCTATAGTTATCACAGTTAAGTAATAGAAGCAACGTTAAAAGTATGTTGACAGAGTTGTTTACTACGAAAACCTGAAACTTTAAGGGTGAAAACACGCAACTGACTAAAAGGTCACTATATATACACGTACACACATGCATACACACAGTCCGTTATTGTTACTGCTATTAACTCATAAACATGGTAGAATAGAAAAAAATTTAAGGCCATGGAAACACATAAGACATACTTTTGAAGGTTAAAAAATGTTATTTATATACACATCACGAGTTCCTGCTCACATACAAAAGAGTGCACACAACATAACACCGATATTAACCGAAATAAAAGTAGTAGTCTCTGACATATTTTTTTGGATAAATCTTCATTATCTATCTTCTTTTACTCACGCATTCTTAGTATAATGAACACGTATAAATTATACTTAATTTAAATAAGATGTTCAACATTATTCTCAGCCTACTTACCAAAAAAAAAAAAGCTGCAGAAAGTGAAAAATATACATAAAACACATTTAACTTGAATCTTCATTAAATACATATTTGTAAATGCCACAGAACCTGCATGGAGACTGAGGGAAGCCCCTGGGGTGGATGCAAGCAAACAGGTCAGGAGGGTAATTTAGAGTAAGAGATTATCAAGTCCAAATGCCATTTCAGGACAGAGAGGACAGAACAAAGAATGAGAAAATGAATTGACCTGAGAAAGAGTCATTCCTGACTCCTTGTTCTCTCTGCTTCTTCCTCCTCTGGGCTTCTTCCTCAGGCAAGGTGAGTCTTGAGACGTCAATCCTGAGTGTCAAAAAAAATGCTACTTGATGCTGAGTCAATATACCCCATTCTGTGCCTCAACCACACACACAGCACCTCGAAATGTAGAATAGACAGTCCTTTGCTGCACACAGCCACAGGAGGGATTCAGGGACAGTAAACTCCTACCTGCAAATTAACAAGTGAGGTTTCTGACCCCTTTGTTCACAACTCACTCCCCTCCTGGGAAGCCCTCACACAAGCTGCAGCTGCGGGGATCTTGGCAGGACTGACCTTCCCCTTGAAGTCACAGACCCATCCTCACCAAACCCCGAGCAAAGGGCAGCTTTCACCTCTTTCTGGATTAGGAGCTGGTTTCAGTCCTCAGAAATGAATGAGCCCTGGGCACAGAATAGGATCACTTGTGGCCCTTTAAACACCATTGAAGCTGGGCCTTATTCAGCTTTGACCATAAGGAGAGAAATCTCTGGGGACTGGGCACAAGCTATGCCTGCAAATGTCTCAGCAATCCAACATGAAGATGGGACTGAGCACCACTCAGAGGCGGCAACTCCAGCACACTTCTCACCTGTGGCTCAGCTCTTTTTGGGAGCCCTGTCCCTAGTATCTGGACAGTGGAAGGGGAAGGAGCAGGCAATACAGGCCAGGGCTGGGAGGAATGTGGATGGAATGTTAAAGGGGTGTCAGAGAAGACCCCACAGAGAAGAGAGGTGTGGTGTCAGAATAAAGAGCTGGGGAAGGAGTTCACCATGTTCATCTGAGGGGTCAGAGGGTTCTAGGCAGAGAGGCCACAGGAGAAGGCCCTGAAACAGTGACCCTGGACCCAGAAAAAAGACATCTGTGGGGCTCAATCCCAGGGAGGGGTGTGTGTGTAAGCAAGATTGGTCACAGATGAACGGGAGGAGCAGGTCAGGAATGGCTGTGGTTTTTTCTCCCCATCCCCGTGATTCCCTCACCCATCTTAATACCTAATTCTTTTTAAAATTTATCTTAAATAAAACACATAGAAATAATGTAATAATCTGTATATTTTAAAACATGCCAAGATGGTCACAGAAGCTCCAGGAAGTACAACACTGCTCTTAAGGAGAATTTGGTGGGGGAACACAATTGGGGAGTTCAGGTCATGTTTGGACATTTTAAGGTAGAGATGCCTATTAGGTGCCCCCAACAAAGATGCCAGGAACACAGCTGGGCTGTTAATATAATTCTGGAGTTCAGCAGCGAGATCTGAGCTGGAGATGAGAAACTGGGAGATGTCAGATGTTTAAAGCCATGAGTGAGGATAATAGGGAAAGTCACTGGGTGTAGGCAGAGAAGGGGTCCGAGACTAAGGTATGGGCCCACCCCCAAATCAGAGACAAGAGATGAATAAAAACCAGCAGAGGAAACTGAGAAAGGAACGAGAAGAAAACTAAAACAGATGGACAGATAATAGATAAGAATTATATTTAAATAGTGGGATGTCCTGAAAGTCATGAAAAAAAATGTTAAAAGAAGATGTGATCAGTTGTTCAACATGATGCTTATAGGTCAAGACAAGGCCTGTGAATTTCTAAACCACTACTGGATTTAGAAATGTGGAGGACAGGGCTGCTGCTAACAAGGCAAGTTATCAGTAGAACAGCAGATGAGAAAACGACTGGATGGGGTTTAAGTGACAAGTGGAAGCCTCTTTCCTTCTAGTTTTCATCACTCTTATTAGGCTGGGACCTATAAGACTCTAATTACAACTGTCTCTCCACACGCAGACACACTTGTAATATTGCCAGTTATTTCAGGGATCACTGTCACTTAGTTCTTGGTCTTGTCCATCAACTCCATGTTGCAGGTTGGTTCACTGAGGCCCAGAGGAAGTCTTTTTTCCAACTCACCTAGAGAACATCTGACTTGAATGAGAACTGAATTTAGAAAGAGTGGCCTAGATGAGGCAGTGGGCAGTTTGTCCTTATCATCTCATTTCCTTTTTAAAAATTCCACTTTCATCTTTATTTTACCTTAGCAAAAGAAACTTATTTTGCAGTTTTAATCACATTGGCCCCAAGCAGTTCTCTTTTCCAGGAAATCACAGTGAAGTATTAAAAATATAAAATCATGAACACAGACTTTGGTGTTGAAAACCTGGTTAGCTTTGGAAATATGCCAATCGAATTACTTCACCATGAATAGATGGGCTCTGTGGAACAAAGTTTCATGTCAATATAGTCCATCCTTCAACATTTTCAGAGAATGGACGAGAGGGACTTCAGGGGAACATCCACTCTGTAGCTCACAGTTAATTCGACAAATTACAGAGAGGAAAAAAGCTGCTGAATACTAGACTGATTAGCTAAACTAAGTCCTGAGTGTTAAGATGACAGACGTCCTTACCAAGCCCACACTGACATGGCCTCACATTATTTACTAAGTAACAACAGATGTTTCAACATATGATAAAGAATAGAAAGAATGCAGGGCTTATAATAGAGACATAATATATTAAAAAGGGAAATCAATTTGGGATTTTTTTAAATGTAATGACTTGTAGATTGAAAGTCTTTTAAAAAACTGAGACCACATCATATTTATAACAGAATGATAAAAGATGCCAAAGCTTATTTCAGAAGTAAATGACTACAAAGAAGAAATTCAATACACTAAGATTTATTTCAATATACTTTAAAAAAAAAATACGAGCAGTAGAAAGAAAAAAGTAAACCCATTTAAAAGAAATAAAAGAACAACATTTTTAATATTCCTTGAAAAAGCATCATTTGGTGACAGACTCAGTCATTTCTTGTCCCAGTTCACCTCCCTCTTGCCATCCCAGGAAATGAGAAGGGACCAATGACTGAGACAAGCCTCTCCCCTTTGGCTGAATAAGGGTTGCAAATGGAAGACATCTGGTGATGCAAACAATTATAAAATGCGCAAGCCTTATAAACTGGAGTTTTATAATTCTCATCTGTAAAACTGAAATAATTAAGCAAATGTTCAGTTTAACAGATTATAAAGCCACAAATCAATATATCACAACCTATTCATCCACATCCCATCAACTCACCACTCATCCAGATGTTTCCCTTTTTCTTCTGTTGATTTCTGTTTATCAACTTGTTAATGTCGATTTCTTGCTTCTCTCCACTGTTGTCCTTTCCTGTTACCCCTCAATTGTCCCCTGCTGTTTCTCCCAACACCTGCTCGGTGAAACTTAATCTCCTAACCACGCTCTCCGACCGTCTAAAGTGCTTTGCCATTTGTGGGCCCCACTCCTGCTAACCAAGGCCCCTCTCCCTTTTTGCTTCCCTTCATCCCTCTAGACCTCCACCTTTCCTCCGTATTTTTCTATTTTTTCTTCTCTTGCTACTTTCCCTCTTTCACTCTATCGCTTTACAAGTCCCCCGCCCCCATATCGACAATTTTGCCGTCTCTTTGGACCCTCTTACTGATCTTTTCTCCCTCTCATTTGTCTATTTCTCTCATTCTCAATCTCTCCTGTAATCTCCCTCACACCTCATTCTCCCGCTTTCCTGGCCTCCCCTTCGCAGTCACGGCTTCCACAAAACCCCTTCCGGTGTGGGGGAAGTGACGTGTTCTCGTGACACCCCGTGGTCTTACCTCCTGAACCCAACCCCACTGAAAAGTGTACTGTTCCTGGGCATCGGGCCTCTTATTAAATAGGGGAGGGGGAGGGCTGCAGAATCCCAGGCCGGGGAAAACTCGGGGCCTCTACAGGCCGAGAGTGGCCAGGGCTGGGGTAGGGGCTCGAAAAGTTTGAGTCTCTCTCTCAAGACTTTAAATGACACAGGGTGGGTGAACTGGCCAGTGACGGGTTTTAAGCAGGAAAACAATACGGCGGACGGTATCTAAGGGCCCGAAGTCAGGAAGATCACAAGAGAAACGGCCTCAGAGTTTATACGGAAACTGGGACACGCCGCACCGCTGCGGAGGTCGGGGCTCGGGACGTCTCGCCGGGACGCTTGGACTCACCACTGTAGACGGCGCGGGTGTGGGGATTTCGACTTCCCTAGAGATGCCTAGGCTTCACGTGTGTAGGACTGTGAACTGCGACGCTATGTTTTTAACCAGAAAAACCGAAAGTTACGGACGCCCACCTAACCGTCCTTGCGCGCGAGCCGCTTCCGCGTCTGCTGGAAGCTGCGCTTGCGTGATGCCGGTAAACCGGAGCCGGGCCTGGGCGGAGCTCTTCTGGCCGGAAGTGCACAGCGACCAGGCGGGTGCGCAGACCGCGGCGGGGCGGGGCCGGGCCAGAGGGAGGGTGAGGTGGGGCAGAGGCAGGGCGGAGCCGGGGAGGGGCCTGGGCTCCGCTCCGCCTTGTTCTCCCCGAACCTCTTTCAAGCTTGGAAACTTCTGAATTTCTTTCTTGTCCAATGGAGCAGGCTTCTCTGCCAATTTCAAGCTGCTGTTTCAGACAGTTTACGGTAAAAGCTTAGAGTTGTGTGGGCCCCTTATGTTGAAAGCTAAGATGTTTACTTTTTTTTTTTTTTTGCTATTTCCTTTATTTGGAAGTTAAATATGATTAAATTAAAAGAGGAGTCTATATGCATGCCTTGTAGGCAAGGGGAGGAGTCTGGTGTCTGCCATTAAAACTATGCAGGGAAGGAATTCTGCACTTCCCGGAATTCCTTCCCTGCATAGTTTTAATGGCAAAGAGAACTTTGCCAGGAATTTGGAAGGTGAAAGTGAAGCAGTGGCCCTATTTTTCATATTTAAGAAGTTCAGGGCTAGTGACCTCATTGGTATGAGGCAGCAGCTGGTCCCACAACTCCAGCTGCTGTAGATATCCTTGGGGAAACAGCAGGCCCTGCAGCTCCTCCAGATTGTTGTTATCTTCCAGCTTCCCTGAACTCTCAGCCAGTTGCATGAAACTCCATGTGTAAGTACACCAGCTGTCTGACACGTCTCCCTCATCACCCAGATAGGAGGCTTTGAGGCAATGACAGACTAATACAAGTCCTGGAATAGATGCCATTCTAGAATCGGAGATCCAAATTTCTTTTGCTTTCAGCTGCTCTCCAGTAAAACTTCCCACCACCAGCCTTTCCTTTCTCTTCATCCGGGAGCATTCACCCTTCCTGGTTCAAGATATTTCCGTTTTAACAAGTTGAAAAAGGTTTTAGTCAAAAGTTTTTGCGAATGGGTGGAGACGCGCCTCTGGGGGGAGGGGCGGGGGGAGAAGTGAGGAGGGCTCCGCAGCCTGGGAACCCAGACCTCGATGAGGACTCAATGTAGGGCGATGACTGGGTCCAGGAAAGCGTTCTGCAATTAGAACTTAATTTAAGCATTTTACTGGAGGAAGGAGTGTGATTGTCTATGTAGGAGATGCAAACTTAAAAGTAACATTCAAAACTCACCTATGCGAAATATGCCATTTCATACCGACGACTATCATAACATTATTTTCATTTCTATTCCCCATTCACCCTGTGCTGACCCTGTGCTCGGTTCCATTGACTTTCATAAAGACAAGACCTGGGGTGCGGGAGGTGGAGGGATGAGATATGTAATAATATAGGTTACTAATCATTTCTTTAAAAAAAAAAAAAGCAATAAATTTTACAAAATGGATATAAATTGCTTTATTCTTTATGTATTCTACACTTGAAAGGAATGATAAATGCAATATCTTTGAGATAAACTTTTGACATAATTCATTTTTCAATAACTTCTAAATATAATACAATTTCAAATTGACATTATACAAGAGTAGAAAGAATATTTTTCTATATAAATATTATTTTATATTTCAGCTCTTTTGTTTCCTACTTCTGATATTGTCAGATGTAGATAATAAATCCTGTCAAGTATGTATAGTATTTAGAAGGCAGTTGGTTTTCACCTAAAGAATACTCTTGCAATATTTCTAGGGGCATTTGATAGGGGTGTCTATCCTCTTTTATGTGAACCCTGAAGAAAGTAAAGCTAGATTATCAAATTTCCAAAGGTCTCATTTATACCTTTAATAATCGTTAAGGCAATATCCATGAGCTAATATCCATCATAAAAAATGTTTCTCTCAGATACCTAGATGTGGAAGACTTCTGTCCAGTCAAAATCTTAATGAGATAAAAGCATTTTGGATAAAAAGGCTTTTAACATATATTAAGTTTATAAGGTGTCGCTGCCATATACATATGATGTTTCATAAGTTTTAAGCACTGGTTATAGACTTTGGATGTAAAGTTTGAACATCATTACTCATAAAATTTGTAAGATTTCCCTCTAAAATTAGTATTATGATTATTCTCCCAAGGACTGAATTTTGGATAAGAACTTTGTCACACACATTATATTTTTATTTATCTTAGATGTATATTTATTGAAGTTTAGTAATGCCTGAGTCTTGGTTAAATACATTGCCCAATTCATATTTTAAGATCTCCTCCAGTCTGAATTTCTGATGCTTAGTGAAGATTCATCCTGCCTAAAGACCTCTCAAATTCATCATATTTGCTCATGGAAAGAATCTACAGACAATATCATGAATTCTTATGGTCATGATTAAACAATAAAAGGAACGATTAAAATGTCAGACCCATGAAACATTCAGCACCTTAAATTACCCTAGCATCCTCTCTTCTACCAGCTGAGCCCTGTTGAAGACACATAGGAGAGGAAGTTCTCTCCACCCCCTCTTCTTCCCTTCCTCTTCCTCATTCCAAGGTTTCTGTTGTATGATTTAGTTCACAAACTTCACTACTTCCTGGTTTTGGCTTATATTGAAAGCTGAAACTTCTCATGAAAACATCTGAGATTTCTAAGGCATATCAGTAGTTTTCAAAATATTTTTATTTTAATCTCTAAAGAGTTCGATAAAACTATTTACCATCTCATATTTTTTAAGATGGCATCTAAATTTTTACACTAAAGTAAAATAGTTACAGGAGACAAATCTTAAGAATATAAAAAATAATTGTGTGTAAGTACAAAACTTATATCAGTCTTAAATGGAAATCTAACGACCACCATTATCCATGAAAAATACACCCCTTAACACAAATTTTACTTATTTAAGTCTAAGTCAGCAATGCATGTAGGACACACAATTAATTTAGGCACATTTCTTATCAGTTAAGGTGCAGTAAATTTTAGTTCAGAGAGAATATTGACATCTAAGAGATCTGGACCAGAAGGGAAAGTGCTTCCACCTCTAGGGCTGGCAGGTGGACTATTGTTTGGATATTCTATCCATTGTTGAAAGTGGGGTACTGAAGTCCCCTACTATTATTGTATTGTTATCTATTGATGCCTTTAAATCTGGTAGTATTTGCTTAATATATTTAGTTGTTTCAACATTGAGTGCATATATAGTGACAATTTTTATACCCTCTTCATGGAATGACCCTTTTATTTGTATCTGTTACAGCTTTTCACTTAAAATGTATTTTGTCTAATTATAGCTACTCCTGCTCTTTTCATTTCCACATGCATGGAATATTTTTTTCCATCCCCTCATTTTGAATCTGTGTCCTTAAATCTTAAGTGTGTCTCTTGTAAACAGCATATACCTGGGTCTTTTTAAAAAATCTATTTAGCTGCTCTGCATCTTTTGATTGAATAATTGAATTTATTTATATTCAGAAATTATTGATAGGTAAGGACTTACTAGAAGCTATCTTATGAATTCTTTTCTGGGTGTTTTATAATTTCCTTGTTCCTTTCTTCTTCCTTTAGTACTTGTTGACTTACTAGACTGGTATGCTTCAATTCCCTTTTTTCTGTGTATCTACTCTAGGTTTTTGCTTTGTGGTGACCATAAGGTAATCATCATAAAACCATTTTATAGATATAATTGTCTATTTTACACTGATAGCTTAACTTTGATTGAATACAAAGTTTCACCTTTTAATCCCCCTCCCACATTTTGTTTTTGATGTCACAATTTAGCTCATTTTATATAGTATATCCTTTAAAATAATGTAGTTATAGTTATTTTTAATACTTTTGTCCTTTAACTTTTATACTTGAAGTGGTTAACATACCACATTATAGTATTATTCTGAATTTACCTATATACTTAATGTTACAAGGTTTTTTAAAATATATTTTCATGTTACTAATTAAAATTCTTCATTTCTCCTCAAAGTCCAAAGTCCAGGCATCCTCAAAACAATCTCTCGATTTCTTTTCTCTTGTGACTCAGCCATACTTTTGTTTTTCTTTGCATTCCTCTGTTTTTGTTGAAAACTGGCATTTTAAGTATTATACTGTAGAAATATGGAAATCAGACTCTGCTTCATTTTTAGGATTTGTTGTTGCTGCTTGTTGTGATTGTAATTTGTTTAGTGCTTTTTCCAAACTAATTTTGCAAAGACTGTCTTTATTATCATGTATGGTCAATATACTCTCTCTTCCATTAGATTTCAATGCTTAGCCATGCTATTAAACACTCTGTCATCACCTGCACTTTGTGCAGAGCCGGAGGAGATAGTTATGGTTTTCCCAGGTACTTTTATTGCCCAGTATATGTGGGCTATTTGAAAAGCCCTTATTCCACACACATCTTTTTTTCTCAGCCTCTCCTCATCATTTTGGTCTTTCTATTGCTTATCCCATTATCCCTTACCCTAACCTGCTATGGCCAATATTTTTGCTTTTATGTGCTGTATGATTCTCACTAGGTTTGTCAATGAGAAAAACCTGTAGAGAATTAGGAAGGCAAAGTGAAGCAGAAGTCTTAGCTAGAGTAATCAGGCAAAAGAAAGAAATAAAAGGCATCCAAATTGGGACTGAAGAAGTCAAACTGTCACTGCAAATGACACGATTCTCTATATAGAAAACCCTAAAGATTCCAAAAAGATTATTAGAAAAAATAAACAAATACAGTAAAGTTGTGGGATACCAAATCAACATACAAAAATCCACTGCAATCCTATACACTAACAATAAAACTTCTGAAAAATAAATTCCTTTTGCAATTGCAATAAAAAGAATAAAATACCTAGGAATAAACTTAACAAACC